CGCTATGTAAATAGAGACCTCTAGCTAATAGGTTAGTCCTAAAAGGTTATACCCTCGCTAGTTATTTAAAGCTAGCCCTAGTTAGCGAGATGCCGAACTATATTCGCTTAAATATATTAGCCGACCGTACCTTTAAAAGTATAGTAAAATTAGTATAAGGCGATCTACGATCTACTAGATCGTCCGGATAGAGGGTTTAATTCCCTTATTAGCTACAACTTTTTTTTTTAATCTATATAATTATCTGTATTCTATAACCCTCTAGCTAATTAGATCGGTTCTAGATAGTAAGAGTTATTCGCTTGTAGTCCTTATAGAGACACAGGGTAGCGACTAGCGAGGGTATAACTTTTAGCGTTAGAGGTTCGAATCCTCTATTAGCTATCCTTTTACGCTCGCGTAAGGCGGCCGGCTATAGCCGCGAATTCTAGAGTTCCTATACGTAATTTTCCCCGTATCTAGGAGCTGCCGCGCTAAGCGGGAGCGCCCGCGTAATTTAGGGATACTAGAACTTTATATATATAAAAAGAAAACCCTAGCCTTCTAAGGTGCGTACTTTCTTATCTATACTAAGACGAGATAGAGACTAAAACTGAACGTATCGGTCTATCTAGGGCCTCTAACTTGTCCGGTACCGCCGTCTATTTAGAGAGCGTATTGTCTTTACGCGTAGTAAGAACGAGATGCAGCTTTAAATATACCCTATACGCCGCTACGCTATCGAAGACGTCGCGTAAAGGCAAATTACGGCCTAGAGACGATAATAAGTATAGAAAGTTTATAGACTAAAGAAGATAGATTGCTCTACCTACGATACCGTACTTAGGCTCCTTTGCCTTCTTTCTAAGTTACGATAGCGTCTATCTCTAGAGCGCGAGCACCGTACTTATAGCAGTCCTAAGGAAACGTACTACTCTCCCGTTCCTATATATATCTCTAGACGATAAAACTCTCTATTTCTACGCCCTATATCGAGGATTACTATCGCGTCGTCCGTATCGATTTAAGTATAACCGAAATTAGTAGCATTCTATACTAACTATAGCCTCCTTTTTATATCGAAGTCCCTTCCCGCCTCTATATCGAAGAAGTCGTAGTATTTAATATAGCTATCGTTTTGTAAGAAGTCGAAGGGTTAGTTATATTATAGTAAAGCATCGATAGCGCTAGGAAGACAGATTTCCTCTAATAACCGTAGGTTGCACCTAACTAGGACCCTCTATACGAAGGTACTATCCGTTCGGCTCGTTATAGTAGGATATATATATAGAGGAACGACGACGAAGCGATTTATACCGAACGGCTATATAGTAGTAAGCTTTATCTACGCGAATTCGATCTAGAACCGGTTAGTAAAAGCGCTATATTCTTAGAGTGCGCGACGGATATACCTAGCGATAATACCGAGGAAATAGCGAGTTAGACTTTTAGAGATATAGTCTCGGCTCGAACTCGTCGAGTTCGTCGAGCCTATTAGCATTTGTATATAGATTAACGTAGACGATAGACCCTTCTATTTGCTCTTCCCGTTACGCCTAAGTAGTAATAACGTTAAGGTTACCGTCTAGGTACTTATTCTACGACTACTTAGATATAGAGATCTATAGAAGTTAGCTTTCTACTACTATATACTAGACGATATACGAGAATATATACTATACATTCTTCGTCCTAAGACTCCGTCCGCTAGTAGATCTTATTTATAACTAGAGATACTAATCTCGATATATATCTAGATAGCCGGTAATCTATAACGCTATAGTATAGAGGTTTAGGAAAGAAGCCGTTATTCTTATCTATATTACGGTTCTCGCATATGCGGCGTAATACCTCCTTAGTAACTAGCTTATATATGTCTTATAGCGCTTCTTAATATACCGGGGCCCGGCCTATAGCGAGCAGTTAGCGAAGTCGTATAGAAGCGTAGGGGTGCTTAATCTCGGCTATAGCGCGATTTAATTCCTAATATTAAAAGGCTCGCTACGGTATACTACGTAGAACGTCTATCTCTATAGCTCGATATTAGCGAAGGTAGCGTACGGCGACCGATACGCTAGAGACTTACTATTAGGGAGGGCTATAGCAGCTAAGACCGTATAGGAGGGGCGCCTTTATCGAGGTCGCTACTAGTAATATCGATAACTAGAAGGAGGTAGATATAGCTACGTAGAAGTAGTCGCTATATTAGTTGTTATAGTAGTAATATTTAGACGACGCGTAACGCCGTAATATTACTGTTTATATACGTAACCGTCGCCGCGCGCTAAGCCTATACTAGCTAATAGATATAAAGCGACGATATAAAGCGACGATATAAAGCGACCTGCGATAATAATAATAGCCTCTCGCGACGCGACGACGAACACTCGACCTTGCGCTTACTACTCTAGCTTAGATCCTACTACTATAACGTCGGCATTGTCGCTAAGGAGGTGTTAATACGAACGAAGTCGTTAAGGACTCGAGTTAAGGCAAAGGAGCGCGTCGTCTACCTCTAGCGGTATAATCCGGTAAGATATATCTTCTAGAGCTATAAATTTATATCGTATCGAGGGATATAAAAAGATGTCCGTTAAGTAGACAGTACGCTAAAAATCATAATAAATATACTAAGATTATTATAGATTTCCTTCCGTAACCTCCCTAAATACTATATTCTCCCTTACGCTCTATACTACGATTGCCCGCGCCTTAGTTTATTATAACGCTCGACTCGCTACGATACTCCTCTAGTAGGGCGAGACCGAATAATAATAAGGAAGGCTTTCGCCGGATAGGAGCGCTATATATAGTTAAGAGACAACTCTACGTCGCTACCTAGTCGAAGCCTATACTATTACGGAGGAGCCGGAAATAGTCTAAGAAGTAGGTTATCTTAGCGTACTTATCGCTAAATAGGGCTAAGAGCTATACCGTCTGTTCCTAATCGCGAGTAGTACTCTCTAAGAGTAAGGCGACGCTAATACTATAGCCGGATATTATATCGAATTAATACTAGATCTCGAGGACCTTTATAGCCGCCTTATCGGCGACGTTATTATAGAAAAGGCTAGTAGCGATATAAAACACCTTAAGAGGCTTCGCGATAGTCGATCCTTCTACTAGCTACGATTCGAATATCTACCTAAGGTCTAGCTTCCGAGGGACGATACTAAACGAAGGAAATAAGCCGAACCGCCGTAGATCGAGAATCCTCTATAGTAGGCTAAGTAGTAGCGAGTCTTGCTATATCTTCGTAAAGAAAACTACCGACTTTTACGGTAATTCCTACCGAGTACCGTAAACCTCCTCGTACTAGAATTATTAGCCGCTATATCGGAGTACGACCGCTACTATACTACTTACTATAGCTTTCTATACCTCGGACCCTTTAAGACTATAATCTTAAGCGTACGTCTTCGCGAGTATTATAGTAGGCCTCGAGAGACTATAATAAGTAGTTAGTAGCGGGCCCTCGTTAGATCTATACCGGTACGATATAAATAAGTATCCGGCGGCTAGGGGAGTTAGATCGAGGTCGGTTCTAATAGAGTCTATAATAGTCGATCGCGATATTAGGTTATTATAGTAGCAATTAATAACCGCGCGCCTACTAAAGTCGTTATATCTCCGGACGTAGGCGCGTTATACGCGGCTACTATAGTCGTATATATAACGCGCGCCTTTTTTAGGACTCGCAAGCGAAGAATACCGTAATTTTATATAGCTTCTCGAAGGCCGTAGAGATCGATAGAGCTACGATAGCGACTAAGAGGGTCGATAGTATTATATTTATAAGACTCCGATAGCGGAGCTCGCGATAGTAGGGCCTCGGCACTAGTCGTACGTACTAAATTACGCTTCCTATAAGGCTACTAGCGCGATCGAGTATACCGCTTCGAGTAAATACTACCGGATAAAGTATATACGACGAAGACGCCCTTTTCGAGACTACTATCGAAGTTATAGCTCGTTGCGGTATATACTACGACGTCTACGCCCTTCCGAATCGCTAAGGTGTTAACGTTCCTCGCGTCCACCAATCAGAGGCCGCCGTTGGCCCGTTTTGAGCCGCACTAAGCCTAAAGGGGCCCCAACTTTTGTTGAGTTGTTATATTATTAACTTGATGGAGTCACAGCACAGCTCCCTCTAACTTTTTCTTGAGCTGCAGCTGGTCCAAATTTTTGTTGCTTACACAACTCTCACATCTACTGCCATTGGAACCGCACGCTGGACTCTTCACCCGACGGAATCTTCATACACATTGCCAACGCAGATCTTGAGCTTCGAGGCGTCATTTCGAAACGAAACCCCACCATGAGCAAAGGAAAGGTCTGCCTCGCCTACTCTGGCGGTCTGGATACCAGCTGCATCTTGAAGTACCTTTTGGTGAGTCTCACGAGCCATTGAACAACAGTACCCTGCATCTCACCCAAAGACATTTGCTGACGACTACCAGGAAGAGGGCTATGAGGTGATTGCTTTCATGGCCGATGTTGGCCAGGAGGAGGACTTCGCGGCTGCAAAGGAAAAGGCATTGAAGATTGGTGCAACCAAGTGCTACATTGAGGATTTGCGTCGGGAGGTGAGATCGACCTATTCGAAAGACGCAGTTTCCGCCATTGACTCATTCCCACACAGTTCGTCGAGGAGCTCTGTTTCCCAGCCATTGCCTGCAATGCCATCTACGAGAACGTCTACCTCCTCGGCACCTCCCTCGCCCGTCCAGTCATCGCCCGCGCACAAGTAGCGGTCGCTCAAAAGGAGGGCTGCTTCGCCGTCTCTCACGGCTGCACCGGCAAGGGCAACGATCAAGTTCGATTCGAGCTCGGTTTTTACGCACTCCAGCCTTCCATCAAGGTGATCGCACCATGGCGAGACCCAGTCTTCTACAACAAGTTCAAGGGCCGACAAGATCTGTTGGACTACGCTGCCGAAAAGGGCATTCCAGTCACATCTACCAAGAGCAAGCCGTGGAGTATGGACGAGAACTTGGCACACTGCAGCTACGAGGCTGGCATTCTGGAGGATCCCAACACTAGCCCACCAGAGGATATGTGGAAGCTTACCGCTGATCCTACCAAGGCCCCAAATACCCCAGAAGACTTCACATTGACCTTCAGCAAGGGTCTGCCAGTCAAGCTTGAGCACGAGGGGGGCAAGAAGGTCGTCACCGACCCAGTCGAGCTTTTCCTTGCTGCTAACGCCATTGCTCGCAAGCACGGTGTTGGTCGTATCGACATCGTCGAGAACCGCTTCATTGGTCTCAAGTCCCGAGGCTGCTACGAGACCCCGGGTTTCACCATGCTGCGCGCTGCACACATCGATCTTGAAGGTCTTGTGCTCGACCGTGAGGTGCGGGCTCTTCGGGATCAATTTGTCACTTTCAACTACGCCAAGATCTTGTACAACGGTCTCTACTTCTCGCCTGAGCGGGAGTTCCTGGAGGAGAGCATCACTGCATCCCAGAAGAACGTCAACGGCAGCGTTCGATGCCGAGCGTACAAGGGTAGCTTCAGCGTGCTCGGACGATGGTCCGACACTGAGAAGCTTTATGACGCCAGTGAGAGCTCCATGGACGAGATTGGTGACTTCGAGCCAAGCGACACTACTGGCTTCATCTCTGTCAACGCCATTCGACTGAAAAAATTCGGCAAGGCCAAGGAAGAGGCCGGCCAGAGCATGGTCCACAAGAAGTAGGCCAAGTCATTGCCGATTGCAGTGAGCTTACATTGTCTTCTTAGCAAGGTGTCTGGAGTCCATGAAAGACCGTAGACTACTAGACCTGTAATTGTAGTGATACCAAAGAGCGATGAACTTACCGACCAAACCCTCGCTCCAGTTTCCAGCAATCGTTGGAGCCGCAAGCATGAATCATTCACCGCTGCTATGTCTCCATCTCCACAGTAAGACGGTTCGTCACCACAGCGTCACCATCCCCAATCGACCATGCCACGACAGCAATCCATAACGCCTTCCGATGTTACGCGGGATGCTCGCGAATGCCGCTCTGCTACCACGTGAACCGAGGGTGTGAGATCACGGGAAAGATGCCGCGCTAGACGGCACGGATGAGAAATGGATCGCCGTCGCGTCGCATGATCAACGGTCTCATGATGATGCTGCGCGGAAGACAAATTGAAGCACGAGACCATACATGGGTATATTCCCGGATGACATTTGCATGCTCTGCGTTCTTCGCAGCTTTGGTAGTTGGTGAAAGGGGAGTTCCTCGGTGAGACTTGTTTTTGAGTTGGAAAGATGTCGGTATCGGTATCCATCGGACGATTGAGGTGCAGGAGATTGAGCCGCTCGGAAGCAGCTCCTACTTACTTACTGTATGGATTGGCTCGAACCTTGGTGCTAGGCCGAGGCGGTGTTAGGCACTTCCTTGGCTTGGATACGCGAGATGTGGAGTCTGGGACGTGGGACGTGGGACGCACCGACGCAGGTACGAGACAACGCTGTGTGGGCTTTGATGAATGTGGCGAGAAAGTGCAGGATGGTGTCAGTGCAGCTTGAGATGCGCGCAGCTGCAGCGCAGATCTATCGGTGAGGCATTAGCGTATGTGGGGTCCGACCGTATCTTTCGCCTCTTGCAATCTTCCACCGATTCTTCCTCGCAGACCCTTTGCACTGCCTTTTCCAGCCTTCCTTCACAGTCTCGCAGTTGTTGCCTTCCGCCACATTTGACTTGGAATTGCGACCGGGATAGATTACTACTGCGTCAGAGGCAACGAGGGAAAGAACGACCGGGACAGATTTATCATTCTTTTGCACGCCGGCCTTGTGGAGATTTTACTCGCTGTAGGAGGACGGAGCGACGTAAGATCGGAGCCATTTCTCAAAGGATGGTATTGACACAAACAAGAGCCTCTCCCCGAGATCCACCCAAGTTTCCCGCTGCACAGCTCTTTCTGCTTGTGAGTTCTCTTCCGCTTGAACCTTCTGCCGTGAAACAACAAACAAAGACTAAATACCGACACAGGCACTCGTGCGGCTTGCAGAACCCATTGCGATCACATCCATATTTCCATTCGCCTGGAAGCTCGTACTTCATTTCCATGTCGGCGACAAGAGCAATGCATCCTTCTACGCCGGTATCATCATCTCCGCCTTTTCCCTCGCGGAAGCCATCTCTGGAATGTGAGTATGAGACGGAAGAGCTGAAATGATACCTTTGGCCTTCCCGAGCAATATTGACGTGACGCGCATGCTAGGTTCTGGGGAGGCTTATCAGATCGAATTGGGCGGAAACCAGTGCTTCTCATGGGATGCTTCGGCACCACGTTGTCTTTAATCGTCGTAGGCTTCTCGCAAAATTTCTGGATGGCACTTCTCGGCAGAATACTTGGCGGTGCGCTGAATGGCAATATTGGCGTGATCCAAACGATGGTCGGGGAACTGGTCACGAATCCGAAGCATGAGCGTACGTGTCACATCGGAATGACTACTGACATGAGACTAACCTGCAGCAGCCAAAGCATATGCGATTATGCCCTTTGTATGGTCTATCGGTACCATACTAGGACCGTCAATCGGAGGCTACTTCGCTGAGCCAGCGACAAACTTCCCAAAAGTCTTCCCTAGCAATGGCTTGTTTGGCAAATTTCCATACCTGCTTCCAAACCTGATCTGCGCCGGCCTGATGCTTATCTCCATTCTGGCCGGATACTTCTTTCTCATTGAGACGCACCCGGACATGCAACCTTGGAGCACGGTGGAAGATTTGCAAGAGACAACCGCGGAAACCCCACTCGTGCCTGCGCAAGCTGGTCCCACAACTGCCGCTGTGAACCTGACCCAAGGCGAGAGCTATGGCACTTTCAACGCTGTCAGCGAAGAGGTCGTGGAAGAAGATTGGAACATCAATCCAGATGGCACGAGTCGATCGACAAGTCCACATAGTGCTCCGAAGCAGAAGTGGCTGACGAAGCGGGTATTGATGCTCACGGTCGCGCTTGGCATTTTCACGTACCACAGCATGACCTATGATCATTTGATGGTAAAAGTTCTTCTACGAAAACCCCTCCAACTTTGCTGATCAATTTCTTAGCCCATCTTTTTCCAGGACGAGCGAGTGCCAGCTTCAGGACGAATCATGAACATGTTCCGGGTTGCCGCAAGCGAGAATGGATCGTTGGCCGGCGGTCTTGGACTGAGTGTACAAGAGACTGGCGTAATCATGTCCTTCAACGGGATAATCGCTCTCGTTGTGCAGGGCGTGATATTCCCAATAATAGCCAGCTGGCTTGGAATCTGGAAGACGTTCATAATCACGGCCATCGGGCACCCGCTCGCATACTTCATTGTTCCCTTCCTGGCGCTACTTCCGGAGAACTTGATGTATCCTGGTATCTACGGGTGTCTGGCAGTTCGCAACTTCTTCTCCATCCTGGCATACCCAGTCCTTCTCATACTCATCAAGGAAGCATCGCTAGGACCAAAGTGCCTCGGAAAAATCAATGGCTTGGCGGCATCAACCGGCGCAGGGTGTCGAACAATCGCGTCGCCCATTGCTGGCTTTCTATACGGTGTTGGTCAAAGAATTGACTTCACCGCTATTGCTTGGTGGGCATCAGCAGCAGTCGCACTTATTGGCACTATTCAGGCATTCTTCATCAATCGGGTAAAAGACGGCCCACATCATGAGGTCCGACCAGCAGAGCCATTCGACTTCATGCCGCATCACGAACGCGAGCATCGCCAATCCATTGTACACATCAAAGTCACTAACGAAGACCCTGATAGCGGGTACTCGACTGCGGATGAAGAAACACCTTTTGCTTCGCGAGTACACCAGGGCTAAGTTCTTCACAAACAGGATTGGTATTACCCTATAGGGCGTTCGAGATAGACACAGCATAGGGGCGGGCGGGCGACGGAATAACGGCATGGTCTGAACATGAGACATCGTGGCTTTGTGTATTGCCGTCCTGCATTCTAGCGAGGCGCTCGGGGTCGGTTGGTTTTTGTAGTCTTTGGCGTTTCGATGGCTGGGTAGGCCACATTGAGCAGGACATGATCGTGGCTGTGCTATGGACGACGGCCAGTTAATCATGATGCATGAACAGGATATATCGCAATAGAGTTAGAGTCAACTGCATCGATATCCGTCTCGGTGAATTGTTTAATTGTAAATTTAGGCTCAATGTACCGAGACGCTAGCAGGGGCTGTCAGGTCCCTGATCTCGCAAAGCTAATTCTCGCCAGCGAGATCACTTTTTTCTTACGCTGCCTAAAGATTGTTGGAGACGGTCCTGATAAACACCCTCGACAACACTTAATCCTCCTCAATATGGCGACTGCTTCTCAACAGCCACCGCTCAAGGCGGATGATCCCATGGCCGGCATGGCGCACTCAGAGGTAGCAAGAAATATCAACCAGCGTTGTTGGACTCCTGCTGATTGATACGTCCAATGTTTAGGCGCACTACTTCAACTCATACAACCACCATGGTCAGTCATAGACCACAAATGACCAACTCTGGTCTGGAATTAGCGCTGACTGGCATTCTGATCTGAAGGCATTCACGAGGAGATGTTGGTAAGTAATAGCGGAGCATGCAATAGCAGGAACGGCACTGAGACGAGATGCAACAGAAAGACGAAGTGCGCACCAAGTCATATCGCGATTCGATCTACAACAACCGCCACCTGTTTAAGGACAAGGTCGTGCTCGACGTAGGCTGCGGAACCTCGATTCTTAGCATGTTCGCGGTAAAGGCAGGCGCAAAGCACGTTATCGGTGTGGACATGTCCACAATCATTTACAAGGCGCGCGAGATCGTTGCCGCGAACGGCATGTCTGACAAGATCACACTGCTGCAGGGCAAGATGGAAGAGGTGGAGTTGCCATTTCCCGAGGTCGACATCATCATTTCTGAGTGGATGGGATACTTCTTGCTGTACGAGAGCATGCTGGACACCGTGCTCTGGGCACGCGACAGATACCTGAGGAAGGATGGCAAGGGTCTCATCTTCCCGGACAAGGCGACCATCTTCCTGGCTGGTATTGAGGATGGCGAGTACAAGGATGAGAAGATCGGATGTATGTGGGATCAATCTTGGACCTTGAGCTTCGATGCTGACATTCTGCAGTCTGGGATAATGTCTACGGATTCGACTACTCTCCCCTCAAGCTGACAGCACTGACCGAGCCACTTGTCGACACTGTCGAGCTCAAAGCAGTCGTCACCGATCCCTGCGCCGTGCTTACCCTCGACCTCTACACTTGCACAACCGCCGACCTGAACTTCAAGCTGCCATACAACCTCTCCGTCCGACGAACAGACTACATCCATGCTCTCGTTGCCTGGTTCGACATTGAGTTCTCCGCATGCCACAAGCCAGTGCGATTTAGCACTGGTCCACACACGAAGTACACCCACTGGAAGCAGACAGTATTCTACCTCGCTGACGTGCTTACCGTCGAAGCTGGCGAGCAAATCACTGGCGAACTTACCTGCAGACCTAACGAGAAGAACCGAAGAGATTTGAACATCGCCATCGACTACAAGCTCAACACCGAAGACCAGGGCAGAATCGCAGACGGGCACTGCGAGTACACGATGTGCTAGTTGAAGTTTAGCAAGGCGTTCTTGGCGCGAGGAATGGATCCATCACCACGACTGATGGACACGTGGGCATGGCATGATGAGCATAGCGGAGTTTTATCTTTTTTTTTGCGTTCATCGTTGGGTCGCAGCTTTAGCTTCGCTGACCGTGTACAGTGTATAGAGGAATGCGAGTCTCGTTGCAGAAAGAGGCACTGAGCTTGCGCGAACCGCTTAACAGTTTCAAAATTCCACGTCTCAAAGCTCATCTTTTCACGAGCACGTCCTTTCAAATCACCACCCACCTACTCAACCCTCCTTCTCATACCCACTCCCAATCAACGCCTCAATCCCAGAAAATTCTCTCCTCACTCAAATCCGTCCCCAAAATCTTCAATCCAACAGGCCACTCGTCATCTCTGCACGCACACTCACAGCCGTGCGTCCAAAGTAGAATAACTGACTCCCAATTGTGCACAGTCTTTATAGGAAGAAAATCCAAAAACAAAAAAAAAAAGATCTCACACCGCCTCGAGGGGCAAAAAAAAAACAAACATCTTGAGTCTTCGGAGCCAAATCTTTTTTTCTTTTCTTTTCTTTGATATGTGGGATATGTTTTTTTTTTAAAAAAAAAAATCCTGGATGGGCGGCCGGGGCGTGACGTCGAGATTTTTTTTTTTTCCCTTTCTTTTCTTCGGGGGAAAAAGATCCCGGGGGAAACGAACGAAAATTTTTTTTTTCGGTTGGTTGGAATTTGTTGGGCTGGTTGCAACCGTTCTGAACCGAAATTTGGGGAGTGAGGTGACTGGAGGATGAGGGAAGGATGGTGGTAGGCGTGGAGATCTGAGAGGGCTTGGAGGGGGGGGGGGGGGGGGTTGATGTTGAATGTTATGAGCGGAGGGTCAACCGTATGTTGAGGGATTTTTGGGATGGAGGCGTTGATTAGTTTTCGCAACCTGATTCTTGTTCTTGGAAGTTTTACAGAGTGCTGGTGAGGGGAGGGGAGGGGTTGATGCCTTTGTGAGAGCCGAAGACTTGGCCGAGAGGTTTGCGTTTTAGAAGAGAGGATGAAGGCTGGTTGTTTGATGGCGTTTTTGGAAGGTTTGGTGGTGGGAGGTGTTGATAATGCTGGGCGTTTCGTTGACGCATGTTCATCGTCTCCGACTAGGACGTTTAGAATTTTTTTTTTGCTGCGTCGGAGACGCTTTTGGTCATTGGGCCTGGGGCGAAGACTGGACTTGACATTCCGTCGCGGCTGATCCTTTCTGGTGGTACTCTGACGCCGACTCATCCGCAGAAATTTGAGCGAAGGCGGATTGAGCTACCTGTGTCGCTTGCAACTGCGGTTTCACTTTCACTTGAGCTTCCGCTTGGGTCTTGGGATGCGTTAATTGGGTATTTGGACCGATTAGAATAATCAGGCCCGGTATTGTAGGAGGGCCCTGACTCCGACTACTGCTTGCTCCTTCTCCAAAGTTACATTTTTTCTTATGTACTCGCCAACCAGATGCTGGAACGCCTGCTCATTAGAGTATCCTCTCTGAATCAGCTCCGTATACATCGCTTGCGCAGAACTAGCCTGAGCCGATAGAACTGATGGAGCTGGACGCTGCGATGTAGGTATGATGGAGGTGACTGCAATTATTGGCCGAGGTTTCGCTTCCAATTTTCGATTCTCTACCCAGAGTTCCGTGCCAGTCTTCCTGACGAATGCAACAATTTCACCGGCGGGAGGAAACCTGGTGTCGGGGTTGGTGACATCGTAGTATTCCGGCCGCATGGAAAGTTCAATTTTCCCCCATGTCGTTGTATGGAGTGGGAATTTCCCGCCATGGTTCGCAAGTATGCTATCAATCTTCGCCAAAGATCGCTCGGTAGCTTGTTCCGCAGACTCCAAGGGTTACGCCCGACTTCGACAATTCGCCCCGTGGGATGTGAGCTATAATAATAGCTTCTCCGAGTATAATAATCGAGGTACGCTCATTGCGGCTACTTGATGTGTCTTTCCAAAAGAGCTCGCAGATGCGGCACAGTGGACACAAGCTGCAGGGGTGTAGGCGGCAGCAATTTTCCGGCTTGCTTCATTAGACATATTCTAAAGGATCCGCTCCATGACTGAGCAGCGCCTCAGCAGCCAGGAAATTCTGTTTCTCGCAAGCAGTATGCAAAGCCGTTCCCCATTTATAGCCATAACGAAGCATCACGCCGTCGTATCGTATGTATCAACTCGCGCCCCCTGGCAAATTAGCATATCGATAAGGTCCTTTGTGTCATCGGAGGGCTCTCTCTCTCTGAAGCGCAATGCAGTAAATTACCCTGAGACATGTCCATGCCAGCAGCGATCAGTCTTTTCACGACCTTCATGGTACCCTCCCGGATTGCGAAAGAAAGTGCAGTTTCATTGAGTGAAGAAGTTGCGTTTGGATTCGCGCCCTGAGCAAGTAGCCAGTCCACCAGGTCAATGTTCCGGATCGCAAAACTGCCAGTCAAATTAGCTGCGTCGCATTATCGCTGTGCTGTGCTCCCTATTGTACCTCAGAATCGAAGGAATTGAACCTTTTCTTAAGCTACGATCCACAGGCCAGCCATGATTAAGCACAATCCCCAAGATCTCAATATCCTCGCTTTTGGCCGCTTCTTCCACGACACTTTCATTCGCGTCACCATGATCGAGGAGGATTCTCAATGCTTGTATGTTCTTGTTTGAGATGCAGATGGTCATTGCGCGCGTTCAGATTCTCGGAGGAAGCTTGTCGTCTTTTTCGAGCTCGTGGATTGCGTCCTGGATGCCAGACAGATTTCCTGCTCGGACATTGCGGCATAGTTCATCATCGCGCCGTGGTTCGGCAAGAATGTCCATGGCTTAATTTTAGAGAAGAGAGGATGAAGTTGAAAGACGGACGCAGATGAAAGGGAAGGCATAACAGGATATGCGCTACTGCGTAAGGGACCGGGGCGGGGGGTATCCGGAACTTGGAAGGCGAAAATGTTGACTAGACGGTCTAGACCCACCCCTACTACCAAGCGCTTTAGCCTCCTCCAATCCTTTTTAGGTTAATAGCGGTATAGCGTTTAGACCTTTCCACCTTTCGATCGACTCTGAATACTGCTTTGTTGCCTCCTTGGCTGCTCTCCTCCCCTGCGCAATCAAGGATTGTAGATGCTCATTCGAGATCTAGAGTGGGAACGACATTGGAGTTGCGAAAGATCGTTGGTATGTTCTCCAGGCGACGTCGTCGGATTTGTAGCTGTTATTCGCTGGTCGCGGAGCAATCTGTTCATTATGATATTACTGCTGAAAGGATACACGTGCTCCAGATAGCGAAACAAGGTTTACCACGAAGCAAGTCGGCAGTGACATCAGGTGGTGGGCTGGTTCATGTCTGATATCTGATGTCTGCACCTCTGCGGCCAGCTTGGCACTGTACACTCGAATGGTCTTTTCGAAAGATCTCGTTCATTGTGCTGGTGGATAGTGATATGTGGATGATCTGTTAGACATGGCGCCATCAATTCGTGTTCGCCGTCCGGAGTGACTGCACCAGCCGCACTTTGATAAGAGTCGCATCAGTCGCCACCTTCAAATCTGTATCTTATTGGGAGCATACCTTTGCTTCGGTGCAGTTCTCATCATGCGGGAAACAGTATTCCTGCTTGCAGCTTCGGCATGTGCGGATGAAACTGTCTTTGCAGGCTTGACAAGTTCTGCCGCATAGGTAGCAGTCTCGATGCACGCCGGCCTGCCAAGAGATTAGTTAGAAACGCTATCACTTGTGAGATGAATTCCAGAAAAAAAAATGAGAATAGAGCTTGAGAGAACGATGAGCTCGTCCATACATTCAACCATGAAGCGCACGCGAGCGTGAGAGATTTGTGTCATCCCCACATGCCGCCACTTCCTGCGCCATGCATCATTTCACCGACTAGGCAGTGTTCCACGCAAAGTTTGGAGAATACCTTTACTTGGTTGCCAGCCGGAGCATTTGTCACTGATGCCCACCCGTCACGCTGGAGGTCTTCTCGCATTTCAGCTTGTTGCAGCTCAGTGCGCAATGTTGCTCGCGAGACTGGTTCCTGATAACAGCCTTCGCACCACCATCGATTGCATTGCTCGCACCATCGGCCTCTTAGACAGTCCTCGCATCGGAGAATGAGGCTTGGAAAGCTGCCATCTGGCTGTTGTTCGGGCCGTATGGCAGCTCGCACCGTCGAAGAATGGAGAGGTATCGGTGCTAAGAGAGGCAGAGTGTGTTCGGCACTCTCGCCAAACAGTGCAGGCTGCTCTGGACATGAGTGACAAGTCTCGCAGCCAGCCGGACCCAGTGCGATAGTGGCAATAGTAGGCTGAAGGAAGTCCTTGCTGGCAACTTTGGTGATGTCGTGTCTTGGCCCTCGACAGAGAACTGCATCAAAATTGATAATGCCCTTGCAGACCTGAAGCGTTTCGGCCCATTCCGAAAAGGGTCGCTTGATAACTCGCCCGTTGCAGCCGTACCACTTCCGTTCATCATCGGCGAGGTATGCTTGCATGTCGTTCGATGAGCGTGCGTTCCAGTCGGCTCCAATCTGTGCGCCGCCAAGCTGTGTTCCCGAGCCCATGACGCCTAGAGAAGGTGCCGATTCAAGTTTGAAGTTGCTTGGTACAACAAATCGAGATGCATCTTTTGGTCCAAAGATGTAGAGTGCCTTGAGTCTTGGTGAAGTCACATCTCGTGTTGGACGAACGCTGTAGCGCAGGATTTGCTGCAATTTCGTGACATTCAGTTGTCGAGCTTCTCGTAGACTGAGGACCCGAACATGATATCGATCTTCTGCCAGCATCTCACGAACCAGATCCGCGGGCACGGTGAGCCCATCGAGAATGAGTGTTTGCACAAACTTCAAGACTTGCTTCGAATGTAGGCTTCCGAGAATGCCGCGCAGTGGCCCAGCATAGAAGTCGTCTTCGGTCAAGCTCTCGTCCATGCGTTCCGCCCGCCAAGAGATCCCGCCAACATCAATCGGCGCGGTTTCGATGATGGCCCGTTTCACTCCGACAAGATTCAAATGGCTCCATGCCTCAGATTCGCCATATATGAGTGACCGGAGCTTCTGGCTGGTCAAGGACAATCGTCGCAGCTCTTTTACCGATAGATATGGCGCAGTCTGCCGCAGAACCAGAGAAATGGACAGTAGGTCCAGTAGAGTAACAGGAAGTCGTATGTCCTCCTCAGCATTGGCCATGAGAGATGGTGGAGGTGGACTGAGATGATTCGAACAGGATCACAGATATATCACCCCCGCCTGCAGTTATCGAGCGTCAGGCAGCGATTGTGGTGGCTCGAGATGATGTCGGAGTAGAAGTCTAGAACGCAATGGCGAAGACGAAGGAGGCACGCGCCGTTCTGAGCTGAACGCAGTCTGGGGACGGAGCTCTATATATACTAGAGGCTCAATGGCTTTACTTTAGCCTATTGTCGCTTCCTATTCTTCCTGTACCTTCCTTACTAACCTTACTATGCCTATTATCGCGATAAACCTTACTTAGACTCGCTATACTTCTACGCCTTACTTCGTAATATTCTTCTTCTATCGATACCGATACCGATAGCAATAGCGATAGTAGCAGCCGCTATAACTAGTATTCCGCGCGACCTTATTCTTAGCGTAGCTTTAGCAGCATTAGGCACCTTACGTAGTAGGTTTCTAGCCGTTTGCTATATATAAGAACCCGCGAATAGCGCTATTTTAGCGGCGGAAAGTAAATATTCTAAATAACGGCTTATAAGAGCTTGCGTAGGCAATTTAGTAGCGTTTCTCGATCGACTGCTTAGTAAGCAATAGGGGTGCTAAGAAGCGCCTAGGGTCTTAGACCTTACTATAATTAGTACTATAGACTAGATGTCTATTACTACGGTATACTATAGTAGAATACGACTCGGACGGCTTCTCGACTAATAGTAAACTTAATAAGGATATAATCGCTATCTATAGTAGAATACTAGCAACAACCGCGGCTATATTAGCCTCCGAGGTCGACAATCTACTAGATCTAGCTATTCGCCGAAAAGGCGAGATAGAGCGTAAATACTAGTATAGACAGGCTCGTAATAATAGGCTATATAAGCTGCTACGCGAGTATCTAAGAGATAAGCAGTAGTTACTAGAGATATACCCTAAGGCTAATTTCGAGGGCGACTTCCGTTTTACTAAGTAGCAAGTAATTAAGCTAGCCGAGTTACTAGATATTAGGTCGATCGAGTTGCCTAAGCGTATACGTTACGATCTAGTAATAGTGCTATATATCGTTTGCAGAAGGCTTAGTAATCTAGGTTATTAACGCAACCTAAGCTAGATATTTAGTCGTAGTAACGGCTAGATTAGTCGTATATTTAATGCCGCGTATACTTAACTAGTAAGGCGTTAGAAAGAGCGATTAGTATAGGACCTTAATCGGCTAAGCAAAGCATACCCGTAGCGAATAGCCGTTACTATTGCTAACTTAATCGATATTAAGTATGTCTTCGGATGTATCGATAGTACGTTACGGAAGTGCTATAGACCGACCTATAACTAGCGGCCGTTCTATAATAGACATAAGCACTTCTATAGCCTCAAATATTAAGGCATTGTCCTTCCGGATAGTATAATATTGCTATATAGTCTAGCACCTAGCTCCTACGGTAATATAACGTTAATACTAGAGAGTAGATTTAATTAGGTCTAGAAGTCGTATTTCGAGCCCTTTAGATAGCTATATCGACCCTTCGAAGAGCGGGTATTCTTATATAGTAACTAAGTATATAATGTCGTCGATAGTATTATAAAAAGCTAGAAAACCGTAAATAGCGAGTTTCGCAATACCGACGAGGCTACGGCTATAAAGGAGATAAGTACTATCCGCTAGTTAGTCGAATAGGGCTTTACTAAGGTTGTTAATAACTTCGAGTTAATAAAGTACTTCTATAGGCTCCGAGTCGAGTTAATACCGGTCGGAGCGATATATATCGTTACTATACTACTTACGAATTGCCTTACTTACTATCGTAGTAAGAATAAGATTAGCCGACTATATAAGGTAAAGCCTCCGAGTATGCGTAAATATCTTGCTAACCTACTACCCCCTCCTATGCCCCCTTTAGCTTAACTAGTCGACGGCGACCTTCTATACTATAGTAGGCACTTCGAAGCGAGCTTATAAGTAGGCGACGAGGTATTCGATAGCGGCGCTTCGTTTAGATATAAGCGGACGGTTATACTAGACTATAAGACGGACGAGATTAAGGTTATTAATATAACGGAAAAAGATTAAATTAGATAGAAGATATAGAAAAGTAATAGGTACGGGTATACCTATACTAGCGTATAGTATATAGTACGAGATGCTTTACGACTTTAATTATAATAATAATATTACCGTTTTTATATACCCTTACGTACGCTATATCCTTTAGTATACGACGCGTCGTATCGTCTAAAAACGAGCGAAAACGAGTAATACGTTATTATATAGCGAGTCGATAAAGGTCGAAGCCCGCTTACTAAGCGACGAAACCTTAGCTTTCTATATTACTTCGAGCTATATACTTTAATACCTACTCTGTTTTACAAGTCGCTTATAGCGGTCGATATAAGGTTCGCCGTTCGAGCTCCTACCCTATAGTTTTATTAAATATAGAGGGTTTTAGCGCTCTCGTACCGAACGAAGCTACGATTTCGAATAGGTACTCGTAAAAGAAGATATCGACTAAGTAATTATAACATTCTCGATAACAAGAATACTACGATTGCTTTACCTAACCCTAACCCTAACCCTAACCCTAACCCTAACCCTAACCCTTTAAGTTATCTACGAGAATACGTCCTTATCGATAGTATTAAGGTCTACGAAGCCGTCGCTGTCGTTGTCGTAGTCTAGCGAGTCCGTTTAACTATCTATAACAATATTAGAATAAGAAGGAAGCTCTATTTAAGATAACGGTAACGGCCGTAATAGCAATAAAGCAGTTATCGTTGCCTAAAGGGCCTAGATACTAGACTAGATAGCATCTATTTAACGTACTATCTTTAGCTTAACATCCTTTACCGCGGCACTTATTGCGGCACTTAAGTCGCTTCCGGCGCTTATATATCTAGCAGGACTTAGTATATTCGGAGCCCCGCTAGCGGCGCTAATAATAGAGACACTTAAAGACTCTAATAGCGAGCTAATTCTGCGTCTTAAGCTACGGCCCTTAGCGAGTGTTCTTAGAGTATTAAACATAGGCGATAATACTTCTTTTAGTATAGCTCCTTATGCCTATAATCTACGCTAGAGCCGTTTAGACTCGAAGTCTAAACGGCGACGCTTCGTAAGCTAAGTAGTATTACTATCGACCGTAGATAGTATCGTTAAGTCGATAACTTCCGCTCGTAGAACCGGCGTTATTAGAACAGCTAGAGCTAGAGTTAGCGCGACTAGAGCCGGACTGCTATTGCTACGCTAAGAGAGTGTCGATAGTATAGTATTACGCATATTCTCGGTAGGACTATTAAATGCCTTTAACTCCTTCGCATTTAATACCTTCTCGCGCTATACCTTATCTAGTCGAAACAGTATCTCCGTAGCCTTATCGAGAAGCTAGTCTTAAAGAGTCTCTATAACGACAACTCTAGAAGCTCCGTTAAGAGGCCTTCTCGCAACTACTCGGCGCTTAATTATTGCACGATAAGCTCTTACTAGATCGCTAATAAGAGGCTTATTAGTTAGCTAAGTAGTAGTAATAATAGACTTGAAGCTAGCATTCTAGTTACGTACTTTGCTAGTTACTCGCTTATAGGCTATATAAGCGCTAACCTTAGTAAGAGTAAGCTTAGTAGCAGCCGAGACATAACTATTGCTATTCAGTCGAGTTGTACCGTATTCCTCGGCAATAGTAGCGGCAATAATCTCGTCCTAAGAAGGTCTAGTATTAACTAAAGTTTAACTGTTAGTCTAGCCGTTAATTTAAGTACTATTTAGCGTCGAAATAGGCTCCCTAATCGGTGTAGATACTAGTGTAGAAACAGGCTGCTAGATAGGCTCTTCGACTAGCTATACTAGTATAGAAACAGGCTACTAGATAGGCTCTTCGACTAGCTAGATAGGCTCTTCGACTAGCGTAGAAACGGCCGTTATATTTACTCTATAAACCTAATTACCTACTAAACGATAGGCTGTTAGACTATTAAGTAATACAGTTAGACTATATAGCGCAGGTTAACTATAATAGTCGCGGAACACCCCTAATAGCGTATAGAATAAAGGACCTAAGCGAGGGTATAGATCGCTCCGCGAGAAGCTATAGTTTATATCGAGAAGTGCGGTAATAGGTAGTAGGGCAGGTCTTAGGGTAACAGGAACGACTATAATGCTAATAAGCTTGAAATAGGGGGTAATTGCTAACAAAACTAAGCCTCCGAGCACTCTACGTATTCTCGGAGGCCCTAATATATGCCTCTCTCGAGGTACGGACCTAGTTCTAATTACGTCGGTCTCCCCCGAGGTCTCCGTAATTAAGTGATTGCATATAGGCTACTAGACCTATATAACCCTTAGCAGCCGCCCGGCGACCTTTATACGCCTCTTGCTAAAGTCTCCGCTATTATATATATAGGTAGGGGGTGTGTAGTAGCTCGTATATAATAGGCACTATGCTAGCGGCAGAGGATTTAATAGAAGGCGGAGACAGGGTTTAAGCTATTTAGCTAAGGATTTAGCACACTCCCTTACTTAACTATTAACGGCCTAGCGCAGGGTCTAATTAGCGTATTTTTAATTATATAAGCGTATACGGGTAACTGCACGAGCTCGTACAGTTACCCGTGCTTTTATTTACTTAATCCTTTACGTACGGATAACTGCACCGAGTTTATTTATATGCTAGTGCACTAGCGCGAGCCACTTCCGCATATACGGAGCGCAACTGCTAATTCAAACCTACTGCGCAAGGTGCCTATTAGCTTTAGTAGCATTAGCTTTAGCTTTAGCTTTAGCTTTAGCTTTAGCTTTAGCTTTAGCTTTAGCTTTAGCTTTAGCTTTAGCTTTAGTAGCGTACTTACTAGCAGAAGGAGGAGAATATTTATCGTAAGTCGCGAGGCGTATCGCTATAGACTCGCTACTAACTCGCTCTAGACTTCGACGCCCTACGACTATAAATACCTACGATTTCTAGTACTATAGCGCGTAGATATAGTAAGAGCTACTCGATTAGATAGCGATACCG